GTGATGCTTAATACCAATCTTTGCCAATTTGAGAATTAACTTCTCTTTCCATACTAAGTCATATGCTGATGTGTAATCGACTTATACAGTCGTAAGAGTATTTCTTGCATCAAGGGCATCTTTGATGTGTTTGTGATATTTCTCGCTCAAGGGCATCTTTGATGTGTTGGGAGAAAGTGACTACTTGAGAGTGCAAGAATGGTGGGTTGCTTGGTCTCCGGCATCTTTGATGTGTTGGGAAAAAGTGGCTACTTGTTGGTTCGTTGTCTTTGTGACCTAAAACCTGCATGTTCATTCCTAAGAATATTGTTGGTCCCAAGGAACCAGGTGAGCCTCCTGTTAACCATTCTTAAGTTTAGCCAGCACGCTTGTGAGGGAGATAGGCCTTTATGTTTAGCCAGCACGCTTGTGAGGGAGATAGGCCTATAGTCATTGCTAGGGTCTTTGCCCTTTTTTAGTACTGTTATTACTATAGCAGCTCGCGAGGGAGATAGGCCTATAGTTGTCAAAGTTGCTAAGGTCTAGATAGGGCTATAGTTGTCAAAGTTGCTAGGGTCCTTGCCATTTTCCTATAGTTGTCAAAGTTGCTAGGGTCTTTGCCCTTTTTCAGTACTAGCATTATTTTGGCAACCCATTTTTTAGGTATGAGACTGGTCTCCCAAATTTTGTTGAAAAGCGTCAGCATGGTTTCCTTGGATTTTGGCCTCATTCTAATTAGAAATTCCGGATGAATACTGTCTTCGCCATGTGAATTTTTTCACTTTAGCTGTTTTATCGCAACATTAAGTTTGCAAGGTCTGAAAGGTTCAGTAAGTACATTATTTGGTGTTGCGTCTTCCTTAGTTTCACCAATCCGTCCTACTTGTATCTTTAAATCTCTTAAAGATTTACTGACAAAAGGGTTTTTCTTTTGCTTGTGGGAATAGAACCTCGTAAAGGGTTTTTCTTTTGCTTGTGGGAATAGAACCTCGGAATCGATGGTAAGCAGTTTGTTGTTTAAGCGTATTGGTTCTTTCTAGTGTCTTTCTCTGTTGTCTTGGAGGTTACCCAGGTGTTTGAAATTGCGTTGGCTATCACTTTGATAGTTGATATTTGAGATGAACTTTTCTATCACTTTGATAGTTGATATTTGAGATGAACTTGTCGATGTATCACTTTGATAGGAGATGAACTTGTCGAAGGAAGTTCGTTTAGCTTGTAAGATTGAGGAAGTCCGTTTAGCTTGTAAGATGGCTTGCCTTAGGACTGCTGACTGTTGTCTCCAGGCTTGTACTTCTTCCGTTCTTCCAGTCTGATGAGCAGTGTTGCGAAGGGCGTCCCGCTTACTTTTCAGTTCCTCGAGGTGATCAAACCAAAACACTCGATAGTGTTAATCCTTGCATCGTCGAATAGTTTTCTTTGCACATCTGATCATAAAATTCGTGATATCATTGAAAAGTTTGTTGGGAAGTTGATTGAAGTTGAGGGGACTTGTGTGAAGTTCATTCTCTTAAAGAATTGTGAATCTAGGCCAGTCGGCCTTCTTGAAGTTCCATGATAGCTTAGTTTGCACTTTGCTTGTCACGCTTTTGCTGCGAATGGTAATAATGCCAATGACTGGTTTGTGACCAGAACCAGGATCGTCAATTATTTTGCGGTGACTGGTTTGTGACCAGAACCAGGATCGTCAATTATTTCACGGACTGGTTTGTGACCAGAACCAGGATCGTCAATTATTTTGCCTGTGACCAGAACCAGTCGTTGGCACTTTCCTTGTCATGCTTTTGCTGCCGATGGTAGAATGACTGGTTTGTGACCAGAACCAGGATCGTCAATTATTGTGCGGTGACTGGTTTGTGACCAGAACCAGGATCGTCAATTATTTCACGGACTGGTTTGTGACCAGAACCAGGATCGTCAATTATTTTGCCTGGTGTGTGACCAGAACCAGTCTTCAATTATTTTGCGGCGTGTATGCTCGCTGATGTCGCTTGAAACCAGGAGTAAGTCAGGAGTTGTTCCGGTTCCATTGTAGTGCAAATATGTATCAGGATCCTCATTGAATCTTTTACACTTTGATGTTCCTTCCCTTCTCTGAAGACTGAAGTCAACTAAAGGGCTAATGAAAACAATCAAAAAAGCTGCCATTTGATATAATAATAGAAAAAATAATAATAATAATAAGTTGTGTGCGATAGACTTACCTCCACGTGGTGCACCCTGGGCAACGTATACTCATACGGCTAAAAAGTCTATTAATCGGCTGTTGACTTCTGACTTCAAAATACCATTGCACGACTGCTTGTCCTATTCGACCGCTTCCACAGTACTCATCTTACCCTTTTCTCTGCCTTTGTGTCTGTCTGCCTCTTTTACATCTGTGAATCGCTCTTCTGTTCTCCACCCCTCGACTTTCTGCTACTTTGATGAACCTTCCCTCTGTGAAGCCCGAAGTCAATTAAAGGGCTAATGATAGCCATCAAAACGCCTGCCATTTGAAATAAATTTTATTTTTTTTTAATATTTTCATAATTTAACAATTTAAGAATATGTCTACGAGAGGATTTTCCAAAATTGAAATTATTTTCGGAGAAATAAGTATTTTGCTGAGCAGGCATCCAAACCGGTTGGGCTCCAACTAATCGCACAAAGGACATAATGGGATCTCCGACTACCTGAATCTATATTTCTTAGAAATTACTTCTAGATATGGGTTTATATTGGCGGTACCTGGTCTGTATGAAAATACTACTGAAAAGTCTCAACAAACGCATTTCTTGTGAATACTTCCCTG